CAGTTGGGTGGCCTGGAGATAGCTTACATTCTGAGTGTCAATTTACACCCTAATAGCTTCTAAACTTTTTTTTTTTTACAGTTTCTCTTGGGTTCTTTGATGACATCATCATTCCTCCGGAATCCCTACAACAGCCAGCCAAATTGTATCCTTCATGATAATGTTTAAAATATTTATTTAATTTATTATTTCAAGTATTTCTGTGTTGCCACCCAGCCCACAAGGGCTCCCAAGACCGAACAAATAAAAACCAATAAAAACAATAGAAAAATAAAAACATTTTACAAGCACCTTTAAAAACTCCTAAAAGCAGTCCAAAAACAATCTTAGAATTCAGTTTTAAAACAGTTAAAATAGCAATTTCAAACACTAACTGCGATAAGGAACATCACTGTTTTGGCTGCCCATTTGAAGGGCATGCATGAGCCTAATTTCCTTGGGTAGGCAGTTACAAAGTCAAGGTCCTACTACAGAGAAAGCCCTCTTAGGTATACCTACTGGCCTCTGAAGATCTCAAATTTCTGGCAAACTTATATGGGAGGAGGTAGTCTTTCAGATATGCTTGCCCCAAGTCATTCGGCACCTTGAATTGAACTTGAAAGCAAATTGGAAGCCAAGACAGTTCTTGCCTAAGGCTCTAAAATGTACACCTGACACCAGTCTGGCTGCTATATTTTGCACTATATGCAGCTTCCAAATACTTTTCAAGAACAGCCCCACATAGAGTGCAATACAGGTGCCTCTCTGTTTTCGCAGTGAATCCATTCTGGATCCCTCCATGAAAATGGAAACCCGCGCATATTCAAGCCCCATAGACTTGAGTGCGGGTGGGCACCGCGGGGGCATGCCCCATTGTATGCCCCTCCATTTGTCTCTCACTCATAAGCAATTTGTCCCTCATCCGTTTGTCCCTCACTCATAGTCTTATCAGGAGGTAGCTAGGGCATGAGCCTCTGTGGCCAGATCTGCCTTCCCCCAATAAAAAGTGTGGCTGATACACCTGAAGGTGGGCAAAGGGGCTTCTGGCTACCAGAGCAAACTGGCTTTCCCGAAGCAGCACTGGATCCAAGAGCACCCCCAAACAGCAAACCTGCTCTTGTTGAGGGAGAGCAACCCCATCCAGAACAGGCTGGAGTCCCAAGCCCAGGATTTCCTACTGAATAGCAGAACTTCTGTCTTGTCTGGATTAAGCCTTAATCTGTTCACCTGCATCCAGTCCTTTACTGTGTCAACAAGGCAACAATTCAGTACTACCACAGCCTCCTTGGCATCAGTTGTAAAGGAGAGATAGAGCTGGGTAACATCAGCATATTGATAACTTTCAGTCTTGAAGCTCTATTTATTTATAGCCTCCATCACACAGCTGGCCTGTCCTCCGACAGCTTTAATTAGCCAGGATAGATATAAGGCTAACAGACAAGTAGTTGGACTCACCCCTCCAAGCAACATCATCATATTGAATAAACAAGCTCAGCCATTAAAACCAGAACATGATATGTCTCTGTTACCTCCCCAGATGCTAACTTCAATATGGAATTCATGTTAGAGTGATTCCAAGCAATTTTCTTTGCAAGGTGTTTAGCAAATTCATCACAGAACAACTGTGCAGAACAGCTGTGCTGGATGGGACTGAACCTATGTAACGGAGGCAGCAAATAATTGCTGTAAAGTACATTCTAAAATGGGCTTTAACCAGTGCTTGGTTGGATTCATCCTGAGTCTTTCTCCATTGCCACTCTAATCATCTACCCAAGCACTTAATTGCCCTAAGCTGTTTAGAAAACCAAGGAGCCCATACTCTCCACCCAAGAAAACAACAAGTGTGTCAGGAACAAGTGTGTCAGTTACCCCCTATTCCATGTATCAGCCAGGGCATCAAAAGAATCACCACTCTAGCAGCTGGAAATTTCCCCAGAGTACAGTGGTACCTCTACTTACGAATGCTTCTACTAACGAAAA